ATCTTTTGAAGTTTTCAAAAGCCCATGTCCAATCCAGATATGAGATAATAAAATATTATCAACAAAATTCATTCAGGGCTGGCTTAAAATAAGTGGGTATTTAAGATCTTTTAAGCAGGAAAAAAATTGCAATGTGTTGAAAGTAACATTTAAAATTCATGTTATTTTACCACATTTATATGGAGATCATAAACTCATTTCTCATAACACATAATTAATATTTACTTTATAAACTATAATGTTATTATTTTGATCTTCATGGTTAAAACTTCAGGGAACATACATTACTTCACAATGACACTGGGACATTTAAATGCAACATGTAAAAAATGAAACTATCATATGACATACTTAGTATTAGATAATATAAAGTATTAATTAAGCTGTTTTCTCTTCAAAAGCCATCTTTTCTTTAAAAGATTGATGGTATCTCTAATGTTATTATGTAATGCCCCCAAATGATTTCTACAAAGAAATATTGAAATGTAATGTTATATATTAAATATGTCTGTATCTACATTAAATATATCCATCTATATTTATATAGAAATATTTCCATTAAAGTAGTAAAGGTTTCTTTCATTTTGTATTGTCCTGATGAGCACGATTAACTAAATAAGTCCTAGTATAACAGTAGTGATGATGAACTTTCACAAACCACCTTCAACACTGACACACAATTTGGGAAATTAAAAGATATCCAACTAAAATCTGGATTATCATTAATCTGAATATATTATTTTAATGCCATTTTGAATGCATACATTCATACAATTAACTCAGTAATTTACATATGAAAATTTCTCAAGCATGTATATTTGTTGCCCTCATCAAATGAAAAGGTTAAATAAACTCAAGAGGTAGAGTGGATTATAATGGCCACTGAGGATTAATTAACATCGATAAATGTCTGCTAAACATTTAATTGCTATATAACTAAACTATACCTGGACTTTAATGAAGATTAATAGACTTTGAATAGGTTATGCTTATTTATTTTAAGAAATAGGAGTTCTTAATATTATACATGATGTAATTTAACATTAGTACCATGTGGTATTACGCTTCAAATATTTTTGAAGAAAATATCATTATGGAAATATACTCACTTAATTTTTACACACAGATATTTTGCACTTCTTTAAATGTTATCTACACATTCAAAATAACACTAGTAATAGCATAGATATGTTTCATTGAAATAAGATAAAGATAAAAACAAACACAAAAAAAGAGTCATCATAAGGCATGAACTCAAACTGGACCATCAGTTATTTAAAAGCTTTTGTTGAATATGTGTCAACATAACAGATATTGCAGAGGACTGTCTAAAGCATTCAAAATAATCAAAATTCACTTTTTCTAGTTAAGAGCATGTGTAATTGAGTGGCTTAGACAATGATTACTAAAAGTTTTCCAGCTAGAAAATGCTTATGACTCAATCCATTTTGTTTGCTGTTTAAATATTTGGGTTGTAGGGATTCTCAGTGTGGTGTATTGCATGCCCATGTTAGATTTAGTAATTATATGAAGAGTATTAAATATGTAAATATGTGTATTATATAGCAAATGCTTGAGCATTCTTCAGGTTTTCTGTATCTTTTTTTTTTTTTAAGTAATTTCTTTTTTTTTTTTTAAGATTTGTTTATTTATTTATTTATACAAGCACTGGGTACAGACAGAAGCGCGGGAGGGTGAGAGAATTCACCAGAGCCAGAGCGGGGAGCAGAGCAGGCAGAAGGACTGAAGTACACTGCTGAGGGGAGCAGCGGGCGGCAGGAGAGGTCTGCGCGCCATGCGGGACCCTCCTCCGGTGGCCGGGGAGCAGCTGGGGATCGAACCGGCGCTGCAGAGGCTGCGGGCAGCTTCGCAACCCAGTGCTCAACCGCTGCGCCACGGGGGAGGCCCGGTTTTCTGTATCTTGATTAGACTTTTCTGCTAAGACTATATCTGGAAATTATGGCAATAATATGGACACTCATTTGAAGACCCAGATTGACTAAAATGAGAGTTAAATTTAAACAATAGGATTAGAATAGTTAAATAGATTTGTCTTTAAAATAAAGTGTAGGGCCTCCCCGGTGGCGCAGGTAGTTGAGCACAGTGCTATGAAGCTGCCCGTAGCCTTTGCAGTGCAGGTTTGATCCCTGCGGCCAGGGAGATACCCACATGATGCGGCAGACCTCTCCTGCCTCACCTGCTGCTCCCCTCACTAGTGTATTTCAGTCATTCTGCCTGTTCTGCTCCCCACTCTACCTCTGGTGAATCCTCTCACCCTCCCGCACCTCTGGCTTATACCCGGGTTCTTGTATAAATAAAATCTTTTTTTTTTTTAAGATTTATTTTTTATTTTTATACAAGAACTGGGGTACAGGCCAGATGTGTGGGAGGGTAAGAGGATTCATCAGAGACAAAACAGGGGACAGAACAGGCAGACTGACGAAATACACTGCTGAGGGGAGCAGCGGGCGGGACAGGAGAGGTCTGCTCCCCATGTGGGTTGTTCCGAGGCCGGCGGGGATTGAACCAGCACTGCAGAGGCTGTGGACAGCTTCACAGCGCTGCACTCAACTGCTTGCACCACCAGGGAGGCCCAATAAATAAAATATTAAAATAAAATAAAATAAAATAAAAGAGTGTAATGTGATTTTTAAAATTCTTAAAAAGTAATCTTTTTTATGCCAATGTCTTCTTTCCTATAAATCTGGTTATCTTAAGTCTAAATCTAATTAACTCAGAAGTTACTTACAAATTTTGATTGGATAAACAATTCCCTTCTGTTAGTTGTTCCAGTTTTCTACAAGGAACTTAATTCTTTCATATCTGTACAACTTGATATTGAACTCAGCATGTGATAAGTGCTGAAATGAAAAAATTCAATAATGAAAAATTAACTAAAGAGTGGAATATTACAACAAGGCTTATGATTTCAAGGATTTTATCTTACAAAGTTAAGATAGCTTAGTAAATTATTCCTTTTTCTTCCTCCTTCTCTCCCTTTGCTTCCTCCCACCTTCCTATTTCCTTTCTTTCCTTCTTTTCCAATCATAGCAAAATAACAATATATTTTTTAAAAATATCATACATTTTCATAATTTTACTTTAACATATTTCATGTATACTTTATTTTCTAAATCCTAAATATTTCATGTGATAATATAGATTAATTATCTTTAGGCATCCTCTTCAACAAGAGTGAATATTTTCTTCTCATAGTGTTTTAAACATGTTAAAACACTTGTGGTAAATATTACCACAAGACTAACAAAATGTATATTACTCAGTATTTTTTCATATATAAATATTTAAACTAATGTTCAGTAAAACTGAATAATACATCTTTTTAGTCATATAAGTCACGGATAACATTTAAACTGTATAATAGAAATATTAGCATTGTAAAGTAAAAGGAGAATGCAATATGGAATTTCAGAATAACCAAAATGAATTTTGTATTGCAACTTTTGTATGGCTAAACATAGTAATTAATGAAGAAATCATTGATATTACAAACATCATTTTATCTTATTTTAGATAAATTAAATCTATATTAAATTTTGAAAATAAAAGTTTATTTGAAAAAAAAAGTTTGAAACAAAGTTTGAAAATAAACAAATGACCAATTTAAGTAGAAATCATTTAAGAACATGCACTTCAAATTTCTACATTATCTCTAATGGAAAGTTTTCTCTATCCTGTTTGTGATGTGTAATTTCATACAGTTTTCTTCCCTAAGGGAAACAGTTACTTGATTCAGTTCTTGGATAAAAATGATCTGTCACCATTGTTTGCTTTAGAGGGCTTTTTGCCTTTTTTTTATTTTTTTTTTTCAGCACTGAATACTGAAAGAAAAATCAAGGCACAGGGGATTGCAGCCCAGCTGTTGTGGCATAAATCAATATTTAAAAAGCACAACAGTGTTTTTTCTTTCCCTGAAAGTGTGGGTTTTGTGTGTTTAATTTCTTGTTTTATTAAAATGTCCAACTTTGTCTAGTAAGGACTTGAAATTTAGCTTTGGTTTTTATTTAGGTTTACTGCTCAGCAGTGGGGTAAGAGAACACTAATATAACTGCAGGTTTCTATGTCCTGCTGAGGGTTGCTGAAGCTGTGAATTTCATGAATGGACAACCATCAAATCCCTGGTTGAGCTAAGAGAGCACCCTGTTTCATTGACCCTGGTCTGCCTTCAGCAAAGGAAACTGAGTTATATATTAATGACTCCTTAACAAATGAAAATTATCCAAGTAGCTACATCTAGAAAGGAATCAGAAGGCTTGTCATGCTAAATACAGGTAGAATAACAAATCTCTCTTCCCCGAACAGATTTTTGCAGGACAGTTGCCTTTGGATATATTCACTTATTTCCTAATCTTTTCTGATCATTTTATGCCATGATTTATGTGCTAGAAGCTTCTGTCTTGAAATTATCTTTTATCATTTTATTCCAATTTTTGGTTTACACTGAGAACAGCTTTCATTCTGAGCCTACCCACCAAATGCACTGATTTTGCAAAACTCATTCCCAGCACTCAGGTGCCCATCTTCAAATTTCTCCCTGTGCGACTGGCCCCCGGGGTGAAGCACTGCCTGAGTGCATTAATGGCAGAATCACAATGTAAGTGTCAGAATGGTGGCATCATCGCACTTTGTCGTCAGCTCCTCTGTTTCTTCCATGTCTCACTGCAGAGAAACTAAGGCTAAAGGTTAAAGGACACAGTTTATTAAGTAATTCAAGCCATTAATCTGCAACCTGCAAACCTATGCCAGCCTATTTACGCTGGCATGATTCATGTTTGCTGTTTACCGATGCTAAAGCATAATGCCTGTTTGCTTTACTTTTATTGCTACACAGTAAAGTAATGAGGAAGGAGGATGAAAAAAAGGTGACAGGACCCACGCAAGGGGACAATAAGAGCAGCAGACTCACTTGCATAAAGAAGATTGAAGCCTTCCCTCCCTCCCTCCATCTCTCCGTATAGGCCCCAGTGCACATCTGCGTCACTTATGGGGGAGGAGGAGGCGCTGAGGCAGAGAGAAAATTGTACTGTGAGGACCTTGACAGCTTCACGGGCGGGCTTTTCCATTCCCCTCCGTGTATTTTCTTGAATATTTATTTTTCCCTTTTACAAACTGACTATAAAAAACCCTCTGATTCTCGCCTTGCAGAGGACACTGACTTTCTCTGAGATACCCGGCAAGCTAGCTCTGGGGCATCCTTGGAGAGGCCAGGGGCAGGGGCGCAGGTGCACTGAGAAGACAGGGGGTGCGCTTCTCCGTGACTTGAGGTTCTCTCTCTCTCTCTCTCTCAGCTCCCCAGGCACTGAACTCGGAGCTGCAAGGACAGGAGAACTGACACCTTCCGGACTGAGGCTGTGCCACGGTGCATCCCAGGGAGGTGTATCCAGCTGCCGCCACCTCCCGGGCTTCGGTGCGCGCAGACCTCCCTCCCTCCCGCATCTCTAACATCAGGGTCGACCCTCCCCGCCTAACCACTGACCCGGGAGCGGGGATCCAGGATTCACAGTCCTCAGCGCCCCGTTCCTGCCTCTGCTCCTGGACCTGGGCTCCACGCGCGCAGGTCCCGCGGATCTGAGCACAGCTGAGCGGCGCGGCGGTGCCGTCTGCGCTCGGGTGCGGGACTGGCAGGGTGCGCGGTCGCCCGGCCCCTTCTGCTCGCCGGGTGCTGAGAGCGCAGCGCTTCCCGCTCCGCCCCGGCTCTGCTGGTTTCCTCTCCAGCTGGCGGGTCGTCGACTGCGCCTGCTGAGATCCCTTTGCCTGTTTTTGCGTTAAGCATGTCAGGGTCTGGACGAAAGGACTTCGATGTGAAGCACATCCTGCGACTCCGCTGGAAACTCTTCAGCCACCCGTCGCCATCCCCAGGCGGCCCTGCTGGGGGCAGCTGCCTGCAACAGGACGGCGGCGGCAGCTTTGAACATTGGGGACCAAGCCAGAGCCGCCTGCTCAAAAGCCAAGAGAAGAGCAGCGTGAGCACTTTCTGGAAGAAGCCTTCCTCTTCGTCCTCTTCCTCTCCGTCCTCTTCCTCTCTCCACCCACTGAATGGCACCTTGCTGCCAGTGGCCACGAGACTGCAACCAGGGGCGCCCCGGCAGGGCACCCAACAGCCGGCCAGAACGCTCTTCTACGTGGAGTCCATTGAGGAGGAGGTGGTGCCAGGCATGGACTTCCCTGGACCGCAGGAGAATGCACTGGTACTGCAAGAGCTCAAAGTGGAGCCGGCCGACTCGAGCCAGGCAACAGGTGAAGGATGTGCACGCAGGTACAGTAAGTCCTCAAGGGGTATCTAGGCATCTCCCAATTCCACTCTTCCCACCCCGAACCCCCGACCCCCGTCTCCTTGTGCTCTGGTAGATACTAAGTGTAAAACATTTGAGATTGAACATTTTGACTAGGAGACGCCTTTATTTTTGTTTATTACCCAAGTTGCAATTTCATTAAAAGTTTGCTGGATGATTTATTTTGAGTCGTGTGTGTGTGTGTGTGTGTGTATTTATACACACACAAAGATACATCTATATAGAATCTATATAGATATACACACATATCTATATAGTTGTATAGATAGATAGATAGATAGATAGATAGATAGATAGATAGATAGATAGATCTTTTTTTGTAAATGTCGGGAGTGGTAACCACAAATTGCATTTTGGTAAATTTCCAGGCGGCGCAGTTCTCATATTTCTGATATTATAGTATTCTTCTAGCACCTTTCAATAAATTGATTGGATTTCTGGTTATGTGATGTGAGGTGAAACTAGCTTTAAATACCTTCCAAATGCATCTCATATACTGGCTTAATAACTGACTTAGTATGTTTTCGAGAATCTCTGTGGCTTGAATTCATATTCCAGGAGTAAGGAGGTAGGGAAAAGGAGACCACCAACACTATCTTCTCTCTTTTCCCCGCCCCTCCCCCCACCATGAAATACAGTGGTGTTTTTCTCTATTCCAACTACCCTTTTTGTCCTCCTCTTAAAGTTCAAAGTCTTAAACTTGTTCAAAGTCTTAAACTATTGTGAGTCCCTTTGTATTCAGTATCCTGATTGCTCAGTACTAGATGTTGCATCCTCAGTGAGCAGATCAAGATGTATTTTATTTGTAGCATTACACTTCTTTGAGTAGAGTTTTATTAGTTTGACACTTATAGAAAATCTTCACGCACATAAAACTCCTAATCCTACAATTTTAGGGAATTGACTCATTTTTATTCTATATAACATCATTACTATTAATAGTTTGGCAGATAGTGAGTATATGAAGAAATTTGTATGTAGATTCATATGCTATCAGAATGCATTATTGAAGAAGAAATACAGGAGAGCCATAGGGAAATGATAATTAATGTGTTAATACAATTTAATTACCTCTCAGTAACAAAACAGAATCAACTTTTTAACATCATGTTGATTGAATAGACTTTTTATAAAGTTGATTAAGGCACAAAGAAATATATAAAATAGGATAATAACTGTTTTTTTAATTATATTGACAATGTGAAGTTGGAGATACAAAAATTTATCCTTAAATATTGTCAATTATATGGATGGTATGAATTTTAATTTTAATTTCAAGAGCCCTGAACATATCTAATATGTTGTAACTTAAAATGTAAGATTGTAATTTTAATGAGGGAATTTAAATTATGATTTTCAAGTAGGTCAGTTTTTTATATATACAGTATCTATTATTCAGTTAAAGAAGTTTTATCACCAACATGGTTCTCACTCTTAGATATTATACCATGAAGTTATTCAATTTATGTACTCACTAGATACCTACCATTTTAGAATAAAATATGTGGGACATATCCCCCTTTTCTGAGTTAATATAAAAACTTTTTTATAGATTTTGGGAAAACAATATAAACATCTAGTATTTATCTTATATATCAAAATAAATTAGGATTGAGATAAAGTACCCATTAGATTTAACTTCTTACACCTACTTTTTAATATGCTCCAGTGACTTTATTCACAAAGAGTTAAAAGTGATAAGAATGCTTAAAGAAATTCATGTAACACCCTAAGACATTATTAATATTGACTGGAATGAGGATTCCCCAAGAGGTATTGCACCTATAAAAATTAAAACTCGGGTTTAATTTTATTTAAAATGTTCACTAGTGTTTAAATCCTTTAAATATTTTTTTTAAATTCTCCCTGGAAAAAACCAGCACTGGTAGTAGTCAATAGATTTTATGGGTATCTAAAGCATCATAGAAAATTGATTCTGTGCTCATGGTTGATTAAAACCATGCTACTAAACTTAGCAATTAGTTATTATTAATAGATAGTAGATTAATATGTATTAAGGAAAGGGTTAATTTCTCTGAAGAGACTTCATTTTCAAAGTTAAACTCTGAGCAAAAAATAACATGCAAATCAGTAATGTGGAATTTTTTTTTTTCTGTATAATACATTCAGGAATTCTACATGCTGCTAATAATGATCAATATAAACTATATAAACCTAAAATGATAATTTCGATTACTTGGGATATCATTTTTATCATCAAACTATGATGTCACATTTGATATTTTCACTTTGTTTTAACAACTCTGGCATCTATGCTAAATTAATCTTCATTATAAAACAAGAGTTGGTCCTTTTTCTCATATGTAAGTTTTCTGATTGTTATCCATTTAGTTTTAAGCTATTTAGGATCATTGTTTTAGACAGGTATAAGTAGATCAGTTGGTTTAACTTGTGCAAACAGCAGCTGGATGGTGCTGAGGGGAAAACTCTGTAATCTGAGAATCTGTAAAGATCACATTATCATGTGTTTGAATTATAAAGGTAGGAGCAAGATAGTGGTAAATTGCTTCACTCCTGAAAACCAGCCCTTATCTCAACCCACTCTATGTGTAAACAAAGTACTCTTCTACCTTCACCATTACAATGGTAAGAATTTCAATTTTGACTGTCATAGATTCCTGACTTTTGCTGTTAATCATTTATTGTCTCTAGTGTCCAAACTCAGTTATTGGAAAGAATATCATTTCTCAGTTATCAGATCAGTATACATTCTTGGTATGAATACTTTTTTGGTCTGCAATTCTATATTCTAAGTAAACTAACATACCAAAAAAAAATTTATATTCTTGCAATTTGTGGTGATATGAGTGGGAGAAGGGATGTCATAATTTTTCTTTTCAAAATTCTCAAGGATTCTCAAAATTCTGCAGTCATCTGATTCTAGGGTTTCAGTTAATATATAAAAATTGTATTTCCATATTTGCAAACAAAACGTTGACCTACCCCTGACTGCTGATCTCATCCACCTCTCTACTTGAATTCTCTGGTGGATATCACAGAGATAAAATGAATGCACCATATACAAAATTAAACTCATTTTCTCCCCTTTCTCTTATTCAATTTCCTTCTTCTTTTTTTCTTAGAGAATTATGAAATGCAATTAAGAAATCAGGATCACATTTGTCAACAACTTAGTTCCCATCATTTTCAATATTCCACTAAACCTGGCACCTTTACTTTGAAAATGTTTCCTGTATTATCTCACATCTCTCCAATTCCATTGTCTACACTGAATTCTAAGTACTGTTCTCCACCAATTTAGATTCTGCAACTGACATCTGCATTATTTCCCCTCATTAATATTTGCTATCCATAATTCATCTTCCCTCTGGAGTCGATGAAAATGATAAAATAAAAATCTAAACAATTTGATCACTTCTCTTTCTGTCTTTTCAGCACAAGCACATCTCTACCACTTTATGGCTATAATCTATACTGTAGACAATTAGGCTCTGAGTAATCTATTTAAGTCTTCATTCATCAAACTTCCCTCACTCCATGTCTGTCTTTCAGACCCAATGTCATCTATAATTTTCTCTGCATTTGAGCCTCACAAGTTTCTTCTTCTAGAAAGTCTCTTCTTCATTTTCTGAGTCCATAACTACTCACTATTGAGATGTCTTCAATAAAAGTTCTGTATCTTTCTCAGAGAAGCAAACATTGATCCTCCAAGAAAGTTTATTTCAAAATTTATTTTTTTTATTTAACAGTTTTTTAATTGTATGTCCCCTCTTGTTTTAGTTGTAAGAATAACTGCTTTCTACTTTTTCACTTTCATATTTCAAAAGTTATTTCAAAATTTATTTTTTTTTATTTAACAGTTTTTTAATTGTATGTCCCCTCTTGTTTTAGTTGTAAGAATAACTGCTTTCTACTTTTTCACTTTCATATTGCAGCATGTAACTATAGATAATATTCTTGTTAGTTGTGTTTGCTCTACATTTGCCCAATGGACAGGGTATTTCTGTTTTAACCGTCATTGTGTCCCTATCATAGAACATATAGTTACTCAATAAGTATTCTTCCATGAATAAATACTTGTTATAATGAATGACATTGATTAAGAACTTGCTGTTTTACAAGTTAGTGTGCTGAATATGGGTTATTTATTGGGTTATATAAATATTGGGTTATTTATATATTGGGTTAATTTAATATTTAGAACAAACCTATTATTCTGGTACTATTATGGATCCCTTTTCTACAATGAGTATACAGATGAGAAGACTAAGATATAACAGGTGATGAATGTGCCCAGAATCACAGACTTGTAAGTAACACAACTGGACTTTTAATGGTTGCTTTCTAACTTCAGATACTGTGTTCCAGCCACATTGCCAAGTCTGCTTTTCCCCTGCCTAAACAAATAGTGCATAAGAGAAGAGGCTCCAGCAAAGGCTATGCTGAAGCAGTTCTCTTATTCCCTTGATAAAAATTATGCTTGTGTTTGAATGTTTAAACAGACTCCTTAAAGTGCTAGTGATGGACAATGCCAGACAAGGCTCAAAGAAGACTTCCTAGCCCACATTATAAAATAATTCCTGAATCATGGTTCATTCATGCTTTTTGCTCTACAAATTAAGCAAAAATATTCAGAAATAACCTAAACAGGGGAAATAATTTCATTTAGGAGTCCAAAGGAGAGCTTTATGATAGACTCTCTGCTCTAGAAGGTCACAACAGGTGAAACAGGGGAATGTCACTGAAAGAGTCTATGTCATTACAATCTCATGGAGGTTGGTGGACCCAAGCCAAGTACTTGTTTAGAATGAAAAGAAATCAGTCTTGCTTCAGTCAAAATTAAAAATATCAACTTAAAAAATTATAAGATGATAAGGGACTATTTCATCAAGAAAGTTATTTTCAAACTATTTTCTATGGAAGCTTAAAATGAAATAATATTCACATTTTCCTCCCATTTTTAATTTCATAGTAAAGTAAG